TATTGGAGAGAAGAAAAATAATTTAAAGGCCAGAGAAAATGTCGATCTTTTTCATAAACAGCAAATATAGGAAGTTCTTTATCGACGAAAAAAAATGTTGATAAGTCGATAAAAGTGCTCATCGAAAAAACAGAAAAGTTCAGTGTCGTTGCTTTCTTTTTTTTTTTTTTTATACAGAAGCTAGATACTTGGAGAAGAGGCGGAGCTGAGCAGATCCAGAATTCATGAGAGATTAATAATATTTGCCGGAGAATAACCGATTAATATCGACATTGAAGTTTAAGTTTTATGAATATATACTTGATAGCTCTGTTATTTAGTACTGAGCACTGTTTTTCTAACACCATTTGTAAGTGAACACTTACACGTGCATTTATTTATATTTATTCATTTGATTATATTCATATATATATATATATATATATATATATATATATATATATATATATATATAATTTTCGCATCAGCTGTCTTTCTTTTTTTTTTCACTTGTGTCTCAGAGAATTATTTGAAAGTTGTTTGGTTCATTCTTTCTTTTGTGTCTAAAGCATAATGAATTCATAGAAAAATTCTCTCTTTAATACGTTCTTTCTTTCTTTCTTTCTTCACTTGTGTATCAAACATAACGAATTCATGGCAAATTCTATCGTTCTTTCCTTCTTTCTTTCTTTCCTTCTTTCTTTCTTTCTTTCTTTCTTTCTGTTAATTCGTATTTTCTCTCTTTCCATTAATCACTTTTGTTCTCCTATCAATAAATCGATCTGTTTGCATTTTATTAATCCGACTTTAATATTAATCCATAATTCGAACGATGAGGTACTCTGCCGACTGCACAGATATTTACTGAGTTAAGTCCAGTTTGGCACCATTTCACCAAATTGGAAAAGGAATGAACTCTTTGAAAATCAAAATTTGTAATTTCAAATAAACACAAAACAACGATCATTGTCACCAGTTGTAAAAAAAACATGTATCTCATCTGCGATATAAGTGTGCAAGCGAACACTGACTCTGTCTGTCTGTCTTTCACACACACACACACACACATATATATATATATATATATATATATATATATATATAAAAGGTAGGATGTGTGTGTGTGTGTGTGTGTGTGTGTGTGTGTGTGTGTGTACAAATGCCCGGCCGAATTTTTCGACGGATTTACACCAAAATTTGCATGCACATGCTCCAAGTTAGCAGGAAGGCCAAGACCGACGTTGCATTTCCCAACTCCCATCGATAGTGGAAATAATCGATTTTTTTCATGCTTCTACGGTAGTTTTCATGTAGTTTGCGGACATTTTCTACTGGCCAGAGTGAGAGCTTATAGCGGGCTGCCACGAATAGGCAGGAAGATTCTATTGGCCATCGCGTGAGCCAACAGCTGACTGACACGAATGTTAACTAGCATGCAAAAAAAAAACAAAAAAAACATTCTATAGCTGCATTCGTCACAAGTAGGAAAAATTTAAATCTGCATGGCACTTTACTCCAATTGGCTCATTCGCTTGCTTAAACTCAACGTTGATTCTGATTCCGCAGAACTGGGTTGATCGTGAAAAAGTATTTGTTGTTAACATTCTTTTTTCATTCGGTTTTTCCAGTTACGAGTCCTTTTTTAAAACTGATCGTTTTGTGTTCATTTTGTTTAGTTCTTTTTTCGTAACAGATTTAATGTTTAGTATAGAGCTTAGAAAAATCCGCAGTATGAGATAGACAAGAAGTAAGGCATGTAGCAACATCAGCATGGCAAAGGGCACTCTTTTAAAGGCAAGTAAGGGCAAAAATATTTTAAGTCAAGTGATAGCGATTGCTGTATGAGTCGTAAGATTTTTGAATCAAGCACGGGCAACGCCGGGTCATACTGCTAGTATATATATAAACGAATAGGTAAATATAAAAATTAAACTACAATTCATTTAAATATTTTAACTCCAATAATATTCCATCGCAACAATAATATATCTCGCGAGAACTATTGTTTTTTTAAAAACCGGTGTCGACCCAAAATATAAATATAGATAAAAATAAATATAATGATTCCAGCACTTGAAAATTGCTTCAGCGTTAAACTCGGAGTTGCGCAATTAATGTAAGATATTATTTATATTTCTTAATATATATATATATATATATATATATATATATATATATATATATATATACGATAAACGTGCAATCAATTTACAAATACATGAATTATTCACACAAAAACTAATGCAAAGGTTAATGATTTAAATGGCTAGACATCCATCATCGCAAACAATTCAAATAATATACAAAAACCTCCGAATCCGTTATGAATGAAATGACCCTTGTTTATATAAATTTCTGCCGTATTAGTTCTTATTTTTACTACAAGCTTTCGTCTGTTCCTACAGACATCTTCAGGTATAGAATAGATGTTGTTCTTGTTTTTCTCTTAGTAATAAGAGGACAACGAAAATATATGTATTGTTGTATCCGAAAATGCTATTGAAAATGAGTTTTTGTTTTTTGGAACGCGCAGAAGCAACGCTGAGTTTGATTTTGAATTTTTAAAGGTTGTGCGTTCATATAAAATATGGTGATGAACAAATTTTTTACTGGTAAATTTTTCTGTCAAAGTGGCATGAACTATATTGTTCAATAATTACAGTAATGTCGCACTTATTATCCAAAAGTCGCACTTGGATCAGTTATTTAAATTACGATAAACGTGCAATCAATTTACAAATACATGAATTATTCACACAAAAACTAATGCAAAGGTTAATGATTTAAATGAGACATCCATCATCGCAATTTGAATTGTTTGCGATGATGGATGTCTCGCCATTAACTAAATTATTTAGAATAATATATATATATATATATATATATATATATATATATATATATATATATATATCATTAAATAATACAGACAAGTTTTGTCTATTTATTTTATGTAAATATAAATAGATGAAACATGCATCAGTGAGAAAATGCTGCCTAAACACACACACACACAATATATATATATATATATATATATATATATATATGTGTGTGTGTGTGTGTGTGTGTGTGTGTGATCAAATCAAAATAAATTCAATATATAATTAAGTAATTTAAAATAAATAAGTAATCGATAAGTTTTAATATTACGACAATTTAAATGTATCCATTTTCCGAATTTCCGTTCTTAATAAACTCTAACATAGTACAAATTTTATATTTCAAACATGATATTCGGGAATAATTCAGGATATTTTTCGGTTATAAATAATATAAGTTATAATAGATAAGTCGTTTGTTATTTATTAATTATTTATTTATTGAATATATATGATAACTAAACTCTTCATTCTTCGAGGTCACCGGTTGAAATATATCTTTGTGCACTTTGGAATGTCGAGTCGATCCACCAACTGACTTAGATACTAAGCCACATGTACATATTGGTTATGCTGTGGTGGACAAGGTGGGAAAATTCCTCGCAACTTGCTTGAGTCGTTCTTGGCCCTACGCGACTTTAAGTGGTTTACCAAATCTGCTCTTGAGGGAAGAATGAGTAGACACACATTACACTTCAATCCCAGTTGGGTTGCGCGTCTGCTGGCACCGGATGTGTGTCTTGCTCTCGGAGTGAACACTTCAATGCACCCAGGCTCCGCCTACTTCCGTTTTTGAAAAGAAGCGGGAATATATATATATATATATATATATATATATATATATATATATATATATATATATATATATGTTGGGGGGTGCTGAAAGGGATCTCAGCTCAAGTAGGAATTACAAAGACTGATGTTTGATCAGATTTGTAAAGTGGGTCGAGCGAGAACTATTAAGCATCTCATGGTAGTTTAGGATGGCAGAGTAAGAAGCGTTAAACATAATATAGTGGTAAATTCAGCATATATTTTCGACACAAACACTTATTTTCTGTTTCTACTTCGGATTGCATTTATTCTCCTATGACAATCTCTCTATATATATATATATATATATATATATATATATATATATATATATATATATATATTAAAAATATACATATTAATTCTCACCAGTAACACGGACGACTCGGAGTTTCATGCACAAAAGCAATCTTCAGATCTTGACCGTTACATAATATCTGGAAAACGCAATGCTGGGATTACGGGTTTTACTTAAAATAGATAGATGGAATGTATATTATATATTTAAAATAAACGCGGAATAATGGTATTTATTATAGACGCGATTTATAATTTATATTAAACATAAACGAGGATTAGTGTGTGTGTGTGTTTTTTTTTAATTAATAAGAAAAAAAACGATGAAAAATAAATATAAAAATAATTTCCTTTTTAAAAATCTATTTTAAATATAAAAAATTGTATTTAAGACAGGCAGGATTTATTTTCTTTACACCAACTCTCTGCGATAACTTAGATTAACACACACACACACACACACACGCACACACACACACGCACACACACATATATTTATACATAGATACATAAATATATATACATATGAATATGAAGTATAATTAAGTCTGATAAATATTTAATATACTTTCTGTTGTATCTATAAAAATAAATAACTTATAAACAGAATATGCATATACATACATACATACATACATACATATATATATATATATATATATATATATATATATATATATATATATATATATATATATATGTATGTATGTATGTATGTATTATATATATATATATATATATTACTTAAAACGTTATTATAGCTAGTGGATACTCGTATTTGAAATATACGCTCCATTTTTATTTTCATTTTAAAAAAAAGCTAGTTTTATGGGAGAAGACCAGATATCGAAGGCAGAACATTTGTAGATATTGAAAGCGTAGACATAGGAATCAACATTGTATATTAACTGTCTGTTTCTGGCAAGAGATCTACTAAATACAGCTTGATAGGTGAAAACTGAGGGTTACCATACAGTACTGATTCCGCATTGATTTTGCCCCAATGTTGTATGTCTTCCTTATAAATACGAAATGAATAGAATAAATAGCGCGATAGATAGATAGATAGATAGATAGATAGATAGATACGAACATACTGAGATTGATATGAAAATATAAAAATAGGTAAAATGATACGAACATACTGAGATAAATATGAAAATATGTAAATAGGTAAAATGATAGACAGCCAAGGAAAGATTTACGTAATAAGGTGATATTAAATAACCGGGATATATATTTGAAAAAATATCGTGATATATATATATATATATGAGACTGAAATAGACGAATAGAGATACATAGATGAAGAGACTGAGATAGATAGATAGATAGATAGATAGATAGATGAAAAGACTGAAATACACTGAGTTACATATAGGAAGAGACTGATTTATATATATATATATATATATATATATATATATAGATAGATAGATAGATAGATAGATAGATAGATGAAAAGACTGAAATAGACAGATAGAGATCCATACATAAAGGAAGAGAATTAGATAGATAGATAGATAGATAGATAGATAGATAGATAGATAGATAGATAGATAGATAGATAGATAGTTGTTAATGAGTGACCGAATTCTCTGCCCTACCCCACTTATATTCGTCCAGTTCGTACTCTGTATTTCTGTCTTCTTGTAATTAGGGATTTTCTATAATCTGTTAACCTCTCCCTCATTCATTCGTTCGCATTGTTGAACGATGCTCGATCACTTCTCAAAAGTTCGCCCGTGCAGCAGGCCACAGGGCTTTCGCTGATCTTTCTTCCCCCACGCTTTGACTATCCCTGCTTGATCCCGTCTCAGCTTGTAATCATTACCGATTTATTGTCATGGCGAATAATGATCGATGGATGGCTCATGGTCGGACATATCGATCGTGCGTGCCACTGGCAGATTCTCGCCAGCAGGCACGATACGTATTCAAACGCCACTGAGGAGGAGGAGGAGGAGGAGGCAGGGGACTGGCGACGCGATGTGGAGGACTGTTCGTACACGATGATAGCGTGGCTGTGAAATAAAATGGAGACATCATCTGACACATCGTCTCGGCCAATCAACATGCAACCGACCAATTTTACAGGAGGTTGCATTGCTCTTGGATTTGTCTACCTGTCTCCGTGTTCCTCGGAGAGACTCGCTTAAAAATCAATCAGTATTACCTTTTCTCTTACTCTTTATTCTTGGTCTTTGCCATATTCGTCTTTGCCATATTCGTCTTTCATTTTACTTGTCTGCATTCTCGATAGACCGTTCGTTTTCCGACCATCATCAAGACTCTCATTATGATCGATTTATCAGGAAGGTGACTTCTTGATGCTACCGGCCTGTACAGCGATCCCAGCACACGGCACTTTTGAAAAGTGCCTGAAAACCGTACCACGGGTTGTGATAGAAATTGGGTAGATCGAACTATCTGCGAGCAGTCAATGGTTGTGCCAGCACCGAGCTTTTGAGCGTGCCTGCCTTATTCGGCTTGTGGATCACGCCAGATTCGCTTTTTTCCAGAAACTGTAACTAAGGTCAGATCAGCATAGCTGCACTATAAACCATAGGTGGGCTCTGAATGTGTTGAACAAACATAAATGTGTCGGAGCAGGCGTCTGCAACAGGGATTGTCTGGTCGCCCTAATAGACAAGTACCCTCGGATGCGAGCGGTTAACCAGCACATTTCTGGGGCGATATCTAAACATACGAGTCCTTTTTAGTAAGAAAACTGTCAAGTTTTTTTTTTATTTCGTCCTGGGCATGACGATAAACTACATCCGGAAGCAAGACCTCTGATCAGGAGGTTTTAAGGCTCCTGGCACCACCTCTTAATTGCTGTTGTTCCCAGGGTTCACCCTGGCCCAGCGCATTAGAACCTGTTAGGGTCCCAGCTATAGGCAAATAGCGAACACCAAACTGGAGTCAAAACATGAAAATATAGAAATACTTAAATTACTTTTAAATACTTTAAAATTACCAGCAATTCATTTTCAAAGTAAAAAAAAAAAAAAAAAATATTGCCATTAATAGATTAAAAAATACCATAGCTCAGAAGAAAATAAAATTTAGGTATTAAATGATCCTTAAGGTGTTGATATGCTCTTAAACAAAACAAACCAACGTCTTTTATTACATGATAAAATGACAAACGTAATTATTTCTTTAAAATTATTACTTAATTATCAATTAAAAAAAGAAATTGCATATCAATGTTGTAATTTTGGCTAATCCTCGTCACCAAAATGTTGTAACCTAAGGAGGTTTACTGAACAGAATTATCAAACGAAGGTTGGTAATGAACGATAATGCTTAGGACAAGAACAACACGATTCTCCAGCGGCGTGTGGAAGTAATAGTCAACTGCTAGAAGTGAGTGAAGTGAATTCCACAATGAATCTCTAACTGCAGGATATCTACTAACCATCCCACGTGGTCAGATGTGACAGAAGGCCGAATTTAATGTTGGCTATTCGATCCCGTAGGCTCGGCCAAAAATTCGCCGTAGACACCGTATAAAACGGGGTCGAGTAGCTGTTTCCCGAGACGAGACGAGACCCCGCCGTTAGACATAGCCTCGTCTGGGGATCCTCTCTACCTCCGGGCAGAGAGTTTGACCAGCACAACTGGAGACGACTCTCCAACTGCAGGGTAGCTACCAACCGCCCCACGTGGTCAGATGTGGCAGAAGGTCGAATTTAATGTTGAGTATCCGAGCCGGTAGTCTCGGCCAAGCATTCGCCGTAGACCCTGTATAAAACGCGGTGGAGTAACTGTTTCCCGAGACGAGACCTCGCTCTTCGACATAGCCCCGTCTGGGGATCCTCTCAGCTGGAGACGAATCTTCAAATACAGGCCAACATACAGTATTTACTACTGTATTTATGTGAATGGGAACATACGCATTATCGTCTGCAGGTATGCTACTACAATTAATTTATTTCAACTAGTAATCTGGGAAATGTTTTAACAGAGGATGGAGAGTATAACGCTGAAAACCGAAGCCGTGCTGGGATAGCGAATGATGCCTTCTAAAAGCTAAGAAAAGTATTAAAAAAAGAAAAGAAAAAATTCGTTAGGAACAAAGAAAAGAGTACTGAACTGTTACGTAATACCAGTCCTATATGGCAGTGAATGCAGGAAAATCTACTCAAAGATGAAGAAAAGACTTGAAGCAACACAGATGTTCTTTTACAGTAGGATGGAAAGAATACCATGGACCGAACATGTGAACACTGATGAAGTATTAGAGACAATGGGAACAAAAAGGACACTTATACTTAATATCAGGAAGAGACAGTTGCTGCTTCTAGGTCACATGATACGGAAAGAGATTATGGAAAATGTGATATTCTCAAGACAGAGGAAAACAACGCATAACCTGACTAGCGATTGGGCACTTCGAAGTGTTAGCAAGCTTGTCACGTTAGGTCACATTGATTTTTTTAGCTACAAGTACTAGTTTAACCCATAGATGGGGGAATGAAATGGATTCATAACTTTCCCAAGGGCAATTGCGCGTAAGTGAATATAACTCACCCGACTGGAATTCGAACTCAGCTTTCCAATTTCTCATTATTATTATTTCTCTACATTATACCACTTGCACATCCTCGTCGTAAAAACTGATAGGAACACGAAAATCCGGAATTAGTCAGTTAATATCAGCGTCATGGTGTCTGGTTTTGGGGGAATTTCTACGAACGTAGATATTCTCGAAGTCATGTTAGAGACCTTCTCAACATCCATTTGTTCTCCGCTCTAAGCGCAGTTGGGTTGACTACCTGTTTACATGTCGGAGTCAGCCACTGATATTCTGTGAGGTACGATTTCCAGGTCTACCCTCTTGTACAGTTGGTTCTTCCAATGCTCTGGTGTGACACTGAGAGCAAAACGTCCTTCGGTATCTTTTAGAAGCAGTCCAGTACAACTTAATGACCCCACAGATCAGCTCCTCTTAGAGCAGTGTATACTTATTGATATTAAATTCGATTCAAGCCATATGGTATTTTTTGTCATTAATACTATCCGACATTTTGGACATTTTCTTTCTTTTTATATGTCAATTTGATATGAAAAAAAAAAGCATTCTTTTAATGAAAACTTTGTTTAAAAATCCCAAATTTTTCATGAGTATGAATAATTTCTGGTCGAACCGTCGCATGAGGTTATGATTTCTCAGCTGAATGCAAGGCTCGGAGGTCTAATATTTCCACATACCAGGTGTTACTGAAAGTCATCCAACATATGCCTGAAGAAAGCTGAAATATTGACTGATTCGATTTCTACGATTTATTAAACGTTTGCAGGTTATTTAAAGCAAGAAAATATTTTTAGATTGTAAAAATTAACATGGGAGGAGATAAATAATAATTTAGCGATACAAGTTTTACTAATTAACCCATAGCTGGGGGGAGAAGAGGTGAATTCAGACCTTTCTTAAGCTTATCTGTGCGTAGGTAAATATAACGAGCCCAACTGGAATTTGAACTCTGGAACTTAACAATATCGAGCTGTTATCCATAACAACACCCAGAGATCCAAGCTTACAGCACCTGGTATTCCTAAGCGGTCACTTATCTAGGTAGTGACCAGCCTCGACGTTGCTTAACGGAACCAGTGTTTCAACGTGATGAGGCCGTAAGCAGTGTGTACGATAATATGATAGGAATATTTTTACGAATAATCTGGGTAATAACAAGGTATATTTACCTACGATTTTACAGCTTATGGAAAATAAACTTGATTTGCACTAATTGGAATAAACCATATTCGTTCTTTCAGTTACACATTGCACTAATGGAAGGATCACATCTTATTTTTTTCTGAAATACCATAAAGGAAAGTTTGCAGTACAAAACCAATTACTGGCAAAATGTATTTCTTCAGTACTCGTCCAACGACCCATTCTTTCCGTGCGCTTTTTGAAATGCCTACTTGTGTAGAGAAAGACAAATATTTTCTTTAAATTAACTAACAGAGAACAATAGGTGTTCGCCTGTTTTGTCGATTTTCACCGACCAGATTCCGTAAGCCACACTTAAGCTAATATCGCGTAAATCAATTAGGCGTTTGGCAAACACTTTTCTTGCACCCTGGGGCATTACACACGACGCCGTCTTAAAATCTACCCCCACCAGTGTCCCTAAGGAATTTGTACAAACTACAACACTTCCCACCAAATTTATAAAGAGATAGCTACAACAGACAATTCAAAACGGCGAGGTTGAATCTAAGAGACTGCAAATTATAGATTTCTTTACAAGTCTTGTGTCCTACATGTTAGATGTTGCATTGTTTAATTATTTCAGTAAATTATTCATTCGATGAAGAGGCATTTTCACTAGATCCAGGACGACTGAGCAGTGAGTTCGATTCTCACTAGGTGCCTCATGCATTCGGGCTTGTGCCACATCTAAACTACGCTTAGAAAATCATTTGAAAAATTTGACGTAGTGTAATGGTTAGCAAGATAATCCCACTAGATCAATTACGACTGAATAGTGAGTTTGATCCTCACTAGGTGCCCCGTACATTATGATCTGTGCCACATCTAAGTTACGCTTAGAAAACCATGAATGAAGCATCATTTATTTATTTATCTATTTATATTTGAATAATTGCAAATGGCTACATGCAGAATTTATGTCAGGTAACTCTACGAAAACTATTGGTACCATCTAACCAAGTACTATCTGCTGAATAGCCGGGTTAGACTAGACCCGATACCCACAAGAATTTACTGGCGGGAAGGATTGTTAGACACCCGGTAGGATTAAAAAGAAAAATTGTCAAAGGGTGGATGAACTTTTTTGAAGGTGTCAACAGCTATCTAAAATAAATCTTCAGATTGGTCTCCATGCAGCCAGTGTGATGAAAACACGGCATCGCTGGGTGGAAGAGTTTACTAGGCAGAAATCAGTGGCCTGGGGTGGAGTGTTCCCCCGATGGAAACAATGGCTATGTATCCATGAATAATGCAAGCCTTCAAATTTGCTTTGTTTTTACCTGGAGAGGGATGGGCATCGCCAGGTTTACTCGCCTAAGACAAGCTACGCACGAATACCTCTCCGACTTTCAACCCAGATGTGTGCAGGGGAATAAGTC